ATGTTAATAAATTTTAATCTAACTATATCAATAATGACATTAAATGTAAATGGTCTTAGCACAAAAATCAAAAGACAGAATGTCAGAATGGACAGAGAATCAACTGCATGGAGCCTATAAAGAAACTGACTGCAAAAGGTCAACAACTGGATATTGAAAAAAGAAGAAAATAGAGATGCATTATATAATACTGATCAAACATAACATAGAGGAGTTATAGTAATATCAGACAAGGTACACTTCAGAAGTAGGTATATTATCTGCAATAAAATGTGGCATTAAACAATAAAACTGCTCAACTCAGAAAGAAGACAATTCTAAATCCATATGTACTAATAATAGAACTTAAAAATATTAGAAATGAAAGAACTAGACCTAAAAATATAATTGGAAATTACAAGAATCCTGTTTCAGTGAAACAGAGAACAAGTAGACAGAATATTAGAAAGTATGAAGAAAATCTGCATAACACTATGAACTATTTTGGTAATTACAGAATACTTGCCAAATGATAGATATGTATGTATGTATATGTATATATATATGTATACGTATATGTATATGTGTATATATATAAAAAACAATACATAAAGAACAGCATATATGCTCTTTTCAAGTGCACAAAAATCTCATCAAGACATGGATAGCAAGTAAGAGCTTGAACAGGTATTTTATTTTTACACAAATAATGTGGTCATGTAAATAACATACCCATATATATAATAAAGCGAGTGCTGGTGGCCTAGTGGCAAGAAGCTGCACTGCAATCCCAAAGGTACACCATTCAAGGCTACCAGGTACTCTGCAAGAAAAGAACGGGCAATCTCCTCCTGTGCCATAAAACCTGCTGGAGGGTCAGCTATGGGTCAGTTCTTACTATGGTACACAACATCAACAACAATAAGTAATGTCTAGAAATAACGAAATTAAGTAAAATGGTTCTGGCATATCAAGATACCAGTCCTTACTGTTGTTCGATGCCAGCATGACTCCTCCCTTAAAGATTTATACCACTGAAACTCAATGAAGTGTTGTCATGAGTTGGAATTGAAGGCAAAAGTTTTTTTAAAAGAATATCTTCATATGCAAAAAGAATCTCTACTATTTAGCTCTTATAAGTATTCTAGAGTCTATATTCCACAGAACTGAGGTTAAAACTTAACCTTGAATGTTCCCATACTTTATTTAAACAATACTGAATATACCATAGACTGCTAAGAGAACAAACAGGTTCTTCCTGGATAGGGTGAGACCAGGTTGCTCCTGGGAGGCAAGGATTCTGGGGCTCTGTCTCACATACTTTGGGCATGTTCCAGGAAAGTAGCAGTCATTGGAGAGGGTTATGCTTGGGAGGGTGGAGGGCAATGCAAGAGAGGAAGAACCTCAATGAGATGGATTGGCTCAGTGACTAGGGTAAGGAGGGCAGATGTGTCAGAGACAATAGGGTTGGCAGGGTTCAGAGCTGTGGTATATAGGGTCATTATGAGTTGCAGGCAACTTGACAGCACATAACAACAATAGTTTGGTATCTATCAACTCTCCTACTGGAATGCTAAGAATCAACAGGTTGTGAAAGGGAAACTATGACAAAAACGTATACATTTGTATTGCATCTTGGAGCTTCAAATATCCAAAAAGTGCATTTTCACAATAAAAGGGAGAAAGAGAGGATGATGTCATAGAAAAGAATAGGTAACTGTTTTCATGAACTGAAACCAAAGCAGGTACAGAAAAAAGGCTCTAACTTCAATCCCAAAATGTCCAGTATGTCCTAGAATTAGTTAAATGACCTGTTGGTAATACAATACAGAAACTTAGCACAAAAAGGTTCTAGTTATTCAAAGTCCTTAACAAACAAGAGAGCTCTGATAAGTTTAGTCTATAGACAGTTGAGCTATAACCCAAAGTTGTTAATGAACAATGATACAAATAAAGTTACTCTTGTGGTCTTTAACAAAGAGCATAATTATCCAACCAATATGATAATAAAGACAATACATTTTAATTGTTATTTAAGAATTTAGTACCAGGTGGTGAGCAAACAAAACATGAAACCATTTTTTTAAAAATATTCCACACTTCTATGCCTTTTAATATATTTATTTACCTCAAAGCCAAGTCTATCTTTTTCTTTCCAAAAACAAAAATGTGTTACTTTTTTATCCCAAAATTCATCCGGCTTCACTACACAAACAAGTGACACCTCAGCAGGAACAACATTCTATAAAATAGAGGAAAAAAATCCAAATTACACATGCAATATGATATACTTAAATACTTAAGAATAAATTATTAGATATTCATTATTAGATTCAGTAAGGAAAATAATTAAAACAATAAAACAAGATATTCTCAAACTTCAAAATATATGTGGTAATTAAAAAATAATGAAGACAAGCTTATTTGGGAAAAAATCAAAAGACTGGTGAAATTTAAGAATATATGTGAATTTTTTTGTGTGTTTTCTTGGATCTATTAGGAGTACATTTAGATTGAAATGTGGACTTAAATTTTAGTAGAGAAGTCATTAAGTTTGGATTTTCTATTACACAGAAAAATGCTCTGTTCCCTATCACAATCATCTGAGAATTTTTTTAAACCATGCAAAATCAATTTTCTTACAAATTAAGTTTCTTTTAAGTCATTATAAAGGGACTAAAGTTTTGTATGATTATTAACTTAAAAAAAGACAAAAAGTTAATCTTTGACAAATATAATTTCACATTTACTAGAAAGGGTTAGTCATATTACCTGAAGAATAACAACAGATATTAGCATCTATTGAGTTAAAAATTTAAAAAAATTCCACAAATATTATATCAGCAAGTCTCCTAGGGTCTATCTTTAACATAGATCTTAATCATTTCTACCAACTAGATTGCTAACATCCCCAAAGTAGCCAGTCTTTTGAAATAACCTCTTAAACAACCTGCCTGCCTGCTGTCTTCTTGTATCCAGAATAAAATTCAAACCTTCTACCAAACCTTACACGGTCCTTCCCACTCAGGGACCTATTTAGAGGACCCTGTCAACCTCTTAGATCTTATCTCAAACAACTCCTCCTAATCCACTCTGTCTGGAATATTCTCTGCCTTACACCAAAAAAAGGACTGGTCCCTTTGTTTTGGATTCCACTCAAAACATCTGTATTTGGGGAGCTACCTTGGCCCCTGCGCTAGTTCTCTTCATGGCATTCATCATTATATGACACCATATAATGTATTACTTTGTTGAGCTGCTTATTGTTTGATTTCTCAGGTAGAATTTAAACTTCCCAGCAGCAGATGCTTTCATTATCATGGAATTCTTACCTCTCATGTGCCTATGCTAAACCCTGAAATACAAGAGGTACTCGATAAATATTTGTTGAATGAATAAATCCTCAATTATCAAATGGATCTCATTCTCCTGGTTTTGCAGAAGACTAAACTGAGCTTCAGAAAACAAAAATAATTTTGCCAAGATCAGAGAGCTAAGAAGTGAGGGAGGTGAGATGGAAACCAGTTTTGTCTAAGTCTAAAGTCCTACCGCTTACTTCACTTACTCTAAACTAAGCATTGTCAGTCTTCTTCAGAAAGGTCCAATTAGTAAAAAGATTGGGTTTTGTTGACTATACAATCTTTGTAACAACTATGCAACTCTTGAGTACTGCAGTGTGAAAGCTCCAGACAAGAAATAAATGAAACTGGCATAGTTAAGAGCCAGTAAAATATTTACAAACTTGAGAGACCAATAATGGCTCTAGATCATAAATAATACCACTGGGTAATTATTAGCAGTACTCATTACAAACCATCATTACTAGTTAAGATGAAACAGAAACCTTTCCATGTAAACATGCCATTAGGCATGTTGGAAATCTCGAGACTCTGCAATGGCTGGGCTCTGATGAAGGGAACAAGATAAATTCACAGCTCGGAAATTTGTGTGGATCTAAAATTTGTTCTAAAATTTGGAAAAGCTGTTCATACTGTTTTAACTGATATTAAATTTAAAATTAACTATTTCAAAATCACTGACTATTAAGCTGTGAGAAGCAAGGGAAATCAAGCCTTCCGATTTAGAGACCACAGTATCAGACAGAGGCAAACCTGAGCTCTGGGCTCCAAAGCATGAAGCACCAACTCCTTTGGAGATAAAAGCAACAAATGACTTTGTAGGTGGAAATACGGCTTGACTAGGAGTAAACAACAGGTCATTAAAACTTGTTGAAAATGTTAACCATGAATAAATCCAAAAGTTGTTAAAATACCTATCAGAAAAGAAATCGCAAGAGGGCATTAAACCATCCATTGATTGTTCTTCAATACTGCCACTGATCAAAGTCCAGTTCAAACAGCAAGTCCCAAACAGCTCATCTGTGACACAGTTGAATGACAGGATGGAAGGAAGAACACAAGGTCATAATTAATGGATTTCTCACCTAATAGTTATTTTAACAACCTTTACAGAAAAGAGTTCATCTTCAGGATGTGGAATATAAAAGTACTGAATGAAAATAGATTTGACAGAAAAGTTATTGTAAAACAAAAGCCTGTGCTCCCTTAAATACTAGGCCCCTGGAGGCTATGTCCTTTCTAATACAAAAGAGCAATTTTACTGATGCCATAATTTAGCCATAAATGTATGAATAAGGTACTGGGTCAACATTTTGGAGACTGCCTCAGACTTACATCCTTCCAGTAAACAAATATATATATATAGTAATGAGAAAAATCAAGGTCTAAGGGATAGGCTGCGTTGAGTTCCTGAACTTCCCTGATTTACTAAGAGAACCTGGCTAAGATTTCAAATCTTTTCAACTGTTGGACCTTCGGGCGTAACAAGATCTGCTTTACAAGGTTATGAGGATAAAACTGACTGAGATAATTTGTAAAGTAAGCTTCGTTCAGCACTAAAACCATCATCACCTTACAATCTATCATCACTCTAACACCTCTCCCTAATTATCTCAAGTTAAATTTAAAAAAAAAGGTAAGAATTATTCTCCTTAGATATTGATTTTAACCTTTTCCTAAAGACAGCAGCAATTTCTTCTCAAATTAATTTAAAATTCTTGATCTTTATCTATAATATCATTAGCAAATTACCTTGGTAAATCTTTGTGCTACTGACAGCTTGCATTTTCCTTTGTGTTCTACCAACTCACTGTGTGGCAGTTATTTCTTCATCATTACTAAATCTGGGTCCCTGACAGGAAGCCCTTCTCACCTTCTTGCATTTACATTACAGAAACCATTCCATTTCATCACTTAAAATTTACTTTCTCTAAAAAGTCCTCCCATAGAAGTAAGTCATCACCCTCTTCTAATCACTCAACTATTTTCTTTCCCGTGCTAGAGCATTATGTCCTTAACACTCTTGTATTACACTGACAAAGGTTTAGTGGTACCTGCTACATGGTAACTCAACAACAACAACTACATGGTAATATTCTGTGAAGAATATACAAAATGTAACACAGAACTGAGATCAGATCTCAAGGACTTTGTAATAGTAGGTATTTATTTTTTATTAAGCTGTGAGCTGCTCGAGTTCTTCAAGATAGTTATTATGTAAACTACTTCTGGTTTACAGTCATGATGAATTTTGGAATTATATGGAGATAAATGGGGAGCAGGAGAAAAGTCTATCAGAATGACCTGAGATTTTACAGTCCATGCTTAGCCATTCTACTCTCTACCTGTTATATCAAGACGAGACAAGGAGGATGATATAGGTACCACAGTATGCAAGCCTTGCCAGGTGAGTCTAATGATGGCCACCTCACACTTTTCGAACCATGGGCCTCCTTGCCAAATTATGTAAATATGACATACTATTTTAAATTGTTAAAAAACCTTCTGAAGTCCATTTTATGATATATTCTAAATCTGAACAATCTAAAGCTAGTCTAGTCATAATTTGTGTGGTTTTTTTTTAAGCACAGTATAACAAATGAAATGGATTTGCCATTACCACCATGATCTGTTGCTGCAAAGCAAAACCATTTCCTGATAGTAAAAATAAAATTACCTGTAACATTAAGACCACTGTTTTCACCACATTCCACTGTGACTTTCTGCCATCCACTATCACAGTAAATCCTCTAGCCTTACACTTTTCACTGAAATAAAACAAAAATTACAAAGCATTAAATAAACTTTAGATTTTATTCTGCAAAATTCTAAATAACATCAGTTTAAAGCTTAATTATCTGAGTAGACTTGGCTTTAATTACACAATAAATGAAAAGCTTCATAATATCATTTCCATGTTCTCAAGTAACTTCCTTTTTTTATTTATGAAATGTTTCTAATTCAGAAGCTAATGAGTAGTAAGATGATTACTCTAAAAACATGGGAAATCAATGTGCAAAAAAATCATGGTTACAGTCAAATAGTGCCTCAAGCTATTCAATATCTTCATCTGTAAAATGGGACTCCAATGTTATGTACTTTTTTCCTCTTATTTCTAGCAGAAATACAAATTTTGTGATGCGTTTAAAACAGGTAGAAAATAAAGAGAGTTCTTACAAAATCATAGGAAAGGGGTTTACTGGTACTCTTTTGGGGAAATTTAATGAGATGAGGTAGCAGTTGGTAGTCACGGTAATTTAAAGCTTGAATATATAATATCTGGCCCATGCTGGCTCTCACATTTCAATTCCTAGTCATGTGGCCAATGAGACATTATCTTGAGTGTTGGGAAATGTTTTGTTGTATATTTAGAGAGCTCTGGTGGTCTAGTGGTAAGGAGCTCTGCTGCCAACCTAAAGGCAAGCAGTTCAAATCCACTAGCTGCTCCAAAGGAGAAAGATGGGTAACTTCCTCCCATGGGATTTACTGCCTCTGAAAACCTACTGGGGAGTCAGCTGTCAGTTAAAACTCAACAGTATATAACAACAACATATTACATTTAATTATTCAAGTATTTCAGAAGTCAGTAATAATAATAATAATAAACTACTTTATAAAAATGAAAAATCTAAAGATTAAATTTACATCACTACATTATTAGCTTTACTTGTAAAAATAAAACGTCATATAATGATTTTTCTTTTTTAAAAATTTTTATTAATTTTCATGAACATTTACAGAGATTTTGGATTTCTATTCATTCACTGTTGCACTTTTCTTCCTGTCCACTCCTCCATCCCCAATTCACTCTTCTCTATGAAAAGTAAAAGAAAAATTCTTTCATTGTTATATAATCCCTCACCCCCAAGTCAACTCCACTATGCAGCCTTCATTCTGGAATCCTGTCATGACAGTAATACTTAATCATATATCCCTTTTAAACAGTTCTCTCCTTCATCTGTTTCAATGCAGTATACATTATTTATCCCTTCTTTTCTCTGTCTCTCCCCAATCCAGATGTCAGTCTCGCTTTACAAGAGTGGCTTTATGTAGCATTTGCCCCTCTATGAGCTAAGGACTCAGCATACTGTCTGCCAGGTTCACCCATTTTAATTAATATTGCATGACCTCCTTGTTTTTTTAATGCTGTATAGTATTCCATTGTGTGACTATACCACAGTTTCTCTGTCCATTTGTTTGTTGATGGGCACTTGGGTTGTTTCACCTCTCCAATTTCATTTGGAATGGAAGGAGGCCCTGAATAAGCAAAACACTCCTTAAAAAAGAGAAACAAGGTAGGAGGCATTTCACTCCCTAATTTCAAATCCTACTACACAGCCATGGTGGTTAAGACAGCTTGGTACTGGTACAATAACAAGACACATAGATCAATGGAATAGAATTGAGAATCCAGAAATCAGCCCATCTACCTATGGTCAGCTGATTTTTGACAAGGAGATGAAATCAGTTAAGTGGGGAAATGGCAGCCTTTTTAACAAATGGCGCTGGCAAAATTAGAAAACAATTTGCAGAAAACTCAAGCAAGATCTACACCTCACTCCATATACAAAAACCAACTCAAAGTGGATCAAGGACCTAGGACTAAAACCAAGGACTATAAATTTCATTAAAGAAAAGCTTAGAAAAACTCCACAAGTCCTAATCCACAACATAAACAATCTTCCAAGTATCCTGAAAAATCTACAACCTGGAAAGGATAAAATAGATGAATGGGACCTTCTAAGCCAGACTGGGAAAAAATATTTGGTAATGACAATGACATGTTAGATAACGGACTTACAACTAGAATTTATAAAATACTCGAGAACCATACAATGATTTTAATAGCCTTCCATTCAATACTGTGGAAGGAACTCAGACTTTCTATAGCAGAGCAAGGATTTGATAGTAAGACTTCTCCCCACCCAAAGTTCTCCCAAGTGCTAATACTATAGAAAAAGTAAACAGCAGACATTTTTCTTAGTATATAAATCCAATTAACTTGAGAAGATTTAACCAGTTCCTGCCAAACAGCAGACATTTTTTTAGTATTTAAATCCAATTAACTTGAGAAGATTTAACCAGTTCCTGCCCTTCTCCCTCCAGTCACACCGTCCCCAAGATCAGTTGTTGTAGTAGTGATAACCCATTTTACTAAGAGATGGTAAGAAGACACAGCATGAAGATGATGTTGCTAAAGTTTTGAAGTGACAAGCAAGCTCATTTTTTTTTGCAAGCTCATTTTTAAGCACGGAAAGTAGCTGAACTTACAAAATCAACCAAAGAGTCCTGATAAAGAGAAACAGACTGAAATTATTTGTCCAGACAAAACCTTCACATAAATATTCATAGTACCATAATTCATAATACCCCAAAATGTAATCAACTGATAAATGAATAAACAAAATGGTCATATCCATACAAAGGAATATTAGTCAGTCATCAAAAAGCAAGCACTGATACAAGCTACAATGAATAAACCTAAAGGGAAAAAAAAAGAATTATGCTCAAGTGGAAGAAGTCTGACAGAAAGTCACATGATTAAAAGACATGTGTTCCATTTTTATAAAATATCTAGAACAGCAAACCTGTCCAGACAGAAGATGCTTCTGTGGCTGGCAGTGTTGTGAGGACGAATACGGGCACAGAGCATTCTTTTGGACAGACAGAACTAGATGGTGATGACAACTGTGGAACCTTATGTAAATACACCATATTTTTGTATTAAAAGATTTTAATTGTCTACTTTCAAAGAGAGGTATTTAAAAATGTTATGTAAATTACACCTTTCACATATTGTATGCTTTAGAATAGAGATTTTTTTAAATGTTACATACATTAAATCTCAGTTTAAGGAATTTTAATAGGAGCTTTGGTGGCATAGTCTGTAAGATGCTGTGCCACTAACCCACAGGCAGCACTTCTCTAGTGGTTCAAACCCACTGGAAGCTCGTTGGGAGAAAGGTGGGCAGTCAGTCTATTCCCACGTGATTAACAGCCTCCTAAAAACTCACTTAAGGGTCTTTTATGAGTCATTTCCAACTCCAAAGAAATAGGGTTAAGAGTTTTTATCTAGTCTGGGAATTTGCTTTACATAACAATCAATCTACTAAAAATGGTTTAGGGAGGGAAAAGTGAGGTAATAAAATAATGTCTTTGAGGTTAGCAATAGCATCCAGACTTGCAGAAAGAAGCAAATGTGACCCGTGTTAGTTTGGGGCTGAAAAAGGAGGAAGTTCCTGCAGAGCCCCAGGAAGACCACTGAGATGGAGTGAAGAAGCAAGTACAGGCGTGAGCCGGCAAGGCCAGTGTCAGGGCTGAGAATGGCCTCGAAGATCCCAGAGAAGTGACCTCAGTCGACTAAGAGCCATCTGATGCAAACTGTCAGGAGAAGCCACCGACACCAGGAGCGGTTCAATGGACAGACTTCATCTAGCCTAAGGCTAGGACTAAGAGAGAGGGGACATCATCAAAGTGCCAATTAGTAGTTTCTTGTCAATGGCCACTGCATCTCTGAGATAAAGGTTAAACAATTATTTTGTTAAATAAGTATTACACAAACAACACATTTGTATTCCTAAGAACATTCTAATTTCATTTGTACATTAAGACTGAAAAAGTAATGAAGCTTGCAAATACCATCTGTAGAGAGCTTAAGGGCATAAAATACACTAAATTTATCTTTCAGAGTACTTAAAAACACCCTTTATCATCATTTTCTCACATTTTACTAAGATGAATGGTGAAAATGCATATTATCTACAGATACTATTTCAAATGGCAAGAACAAGTGATCCTTCATCTACTTGAAATATTTTTGCGATTTTATGTGGTTTAAAAAACAATATAGTTTAGAAAAATGTCATGCCCTTCATAAGAGCATATTGGAGAAGCTGAAAGTAGTATGCAAATGCAAATAAATTCCTTTACTTCAGTTAACATTTTTATAAGGCGCTCACTCAGTTGTCATTTGAAAAAGGATTGCTGAAAAATATCCTGGGTTTAGTATTGTTCAACTCTCCCCTGTTGTGATTGCTGTTATGAGTCATCGAGTTGGAACCGACTAATAGCTAACCGTCCAGCAGGTTTTCAGAGGCAGTAAATTGCAGAAGAGGAGATTGTCCATCTTTCTCCTCAGAGCTGCCAGATCCGAAGCACATGCCTTTAGGTTGGCAGTGCAGCTCCTTACTTACTCACTAGGTCCCCTGAGCTCTCTTCAACTGGCCTCTACCTTCTTCAAATAAAAGAACTCCTTCTACTCTACTGTTAACTACTGCTGTTGAGTTGATTTTAACTCAAAGTGACTCTCTATTGGCTCCCCAGGCTGTTCCTCTTTGTGGGAGACCTTCAAACTGCTGACATTCTGGCTGACAGGCCAACATGGTCAGCACTGTATTACCAGGCTCCTTCTTCTACTCTTGGAGGTCTGTAAAGCAATTATTTCATGTATGCTTTTATTATAAGGTATTCACTTTGTACACAAGAGTTTTTGATATAGGACCTTTATTGTAATTCCTTTTTAATCAATCATCTTTCCCAGATAACTTGCCTTGAAAAATCATTATCTATATGACAACAAAATGGAACAAGATGTACATTACAATGTGAATGGGGGGAGGGAGATGGAGGCAAACAAATGAAACCCCAACATTTCCATAAACATTCACTAAAATTACAAAAAGAAAGGCGGGAGGGAAAATATTATCCTTCTAAAATCTAGGCAGTTTCCAGCACAATGTTTTAAACACAGAGAGCCTTTAAAATGATT